GAGGACATGAGGACATGAGGACAGCAACGCCCTGATGATGATGATGCCAAGCTCGACAACAATATTTGACACCGCCAGCTTTAGTATCTACGACGACTACCTACAGGAGGTGAGAAGTAGAGGATCTTAAAAAATGTTTTGTTCTCAGAAAGTTGAAATTAACCTGAAGCGAATTGTACACGAGATAAAGCTCTCCAAGTATTTTATTCCGGTTACAGCACAGTGAAACTCCTGCGGTATTTTTCTCGTAAATGATACGCTCGGTTTCAAGCACAACAAACTTTCGGTAGATTTTGTTTTTGTACAGATACGGAACTGATCTGGTCTATGAACAGGTTAGTGTGCAATCCACACTGTGGATGCATCCATGCATCAGGAAATATCGACTATGTCCTCATACGCGATGAAAAGCTGCTTGCACCACGCACAACGACATTATTCATAAGAAGGAGGATATTGTTATTAGCAGATTTAAGCGAGGGGTCGAAGTGACCTGGTTGGGCATGTTTCGCTAGAGAGTAACACTATCGGTTTTGCCAGCCACATTGGACGTATTTGAAACTGCTGTTTCCTTCTCGTAGGTGAGCTCGTCATCCGAGGCATTCTCCAACTCCGCGGGTAGATCAACTGGATCGGGCAGCTCAATGGTCTCACGTGTCTTGCGCTGAGCAAGTCCACGGGGTATGTCAGCAAGTTGCTGGACATACTCAGCCGATATTTGCTTGATCGTCGTGACGAAGGTTGCCATAGAGGGGTGAGGAGTGGGGAATCGCGTGTTAAGAGCGCGATTAAAGCGCTCTAGGGGGTTGTTAGTCCGGGCAATAAGCTCGTTGTCCAACGTGTGCACATTCCAGGCTTCAACAGAATATCCGTCGATCCACGTTCGCTGGAAATATTTCCAGAATCCCTGCCACTTTGTCTTGGAGTACGCTATGCCATCTTTACTGCAGCGCTTCCTTATTTCACACTTGACCCACGGGATACCGCGCTTCTCCACGAGCTCTGGGTCGATGACCGTCAACATGTCGAGCACTCCTTTGCTCATGGCCACTAAACACTCCGCCTCAGGAATCGCGAACCGCTTCATGGCTCGACGGAGAGCCTGTTTCATGTGAAACAGGCAGCCCAATACAATGGCATCACGAAACTGCGTCTGAATCGCGTCCATTAATGCAGACTCGAAATCACATACAACCTCAGCAGGACTGAGTTGCTGGTCGGTTGCTTGTAGCACGAAGTGGATCATATCCCGTACGCGTCTCCAGAGCGTGAAGTACTTAGAATGTAAAACACTGGAACAAGAGTCCGGAAGCTCGGTCATGCACTATAAACACCACACACTGTTGGAAGTTGGGGGCACGCATCTAAACGTGTCGTCAATAAAGAGCGAGATGTTATGGTACCGCAGCAGATTGACCAATACCGGGTGAGCCCAACCCAGAAGGCGTGTCGGTCGCGTGACATCTTATCTATTAGCTGACACAAAGTGAAATTGAAAAAACGACACAGCTTCATTGAGTGCAAGTGTAAGCGGCAGAATTTCCACAGATCCATGGTCGTTACTGCTGTAGTGAAGAGCACGAGCTCTGTAAACACGTCCACTTACTTGAGATTCAGACAATCCAATGACGACCTGGTTGTTGTCGTCCTCGTAGAATAAGCTTCGTAGCTCTGTCCAGTTTGTATTGCCAGGCCGAGCAACATCGGCGATGGCCAGGCAGTCCGTCATTGCCTTCATGTCCTCCTTGACGTCGGCAAGGCCACTAGCAACA